GAAGAAAGTGCTGAACCTCTGAGCGAGGATGATTTTGAGATGTTCTATGAAGTCTGGGAAAAGTTCGATCCAGATGCATCCCAATTTATAGAATATAGTAAACTTTCCGATTTTGCTGCTTCATTGGATCCTCCTCTTCTGATTGCCAAACCAAACAATGTTCAGCTAATTTCAATGGACCTGCCCATGGTGAGTGGCGATAGAATCCACTGCCTTGACATCTTGTTTGCTTTTACAAAGCGTGTCTTGGGAGAAAGCGAAGAAATGGATTTACTCAGAGTGCAGATGGAAGACCGCTTCATGGCAGCCAATCCATCCAAAGTTTCATATGAACCAATCACTACCACATTAAAGCGAAAGCAGGAGGAGGTGTCCGCTACCATTATCCAGCGGGCTTTCAGGCATTTCCTCCTCAAACAGAAAGTTAAAAAAGTAACTTCTATGTATAATAAAGAAAAATGCAGAGATGGCGAGGTCCTACCCATCAAAGACGTGACCTCTGATAGGTTTAATGGGAATTCCAGTCCAGAGAAAACCAATGAGAGTTCCTCGACCACCTCTCCCCCTTCCTATGATAGTGTTACTAAGCCAAACAAAGAGAAATATGAAAAGGGCAAAACAGAGAGAGACTTTAAAGGGAAAGATATAAAAATTAGCAAAAAGTGAAAAACGATCATTTGTATTATTTGTTCTTCAACCTGTTTACAGCCTTTGAAGGGGATGTATTTGTCAGCAAAGCTCCACTGGAGAGTTATGCTAAACTGTCAGCATTTATAAATATAAAACCTGTATATCTATGTATAGATATAGACATACAAAGATATGTCTCTATACAGATATGTACGCTCTCTTTCAAGGTTAGTGCCTATAACAAGACAGTGACCCCCCTAGTCACCGGACCTTAACTCTGGAAATGGAGTGGCAGCCTTCATTGCTCTAGCTGAAAAAGAGAAAAGGAACGACATTGCTGCTCAGCATAAAGTGGGCAAAGCTATCACGCGTTCAGCAAGTCACAAGACACTTAATTCAGTAAGTGTTCTCACTGTGTGTGTTCTTCAGCAGCCACATTTGCCATATTTTCGCATGTGCGCACGCGCACACGCACACACACACACAAATACACATTATAGGTGAATTTATCATTTTTTAAAAAAAAAAATTCGCAGGGTGTTTATATATGTGACTATTTTTGTAAATGGGGTTTCTGTTGTGGGAGGGAAGGGATGGAGGAAGTAGGACCAGGTGTTCCACTCTCTAATTCTCTATAACCTTCAGACAGGGGAAGCAATTTGCTCGAAGAGATGCTGCGCGCTCCTAGATTGTGTGTTGGAACCCTTGTGGCATCATCCAGTACAGGTTTTCACTGTTTGCTATTTCAGCTTGGAGCAATTTTATACTTTCTGTTACGTGGCAACCTCTTAGCCCTACTATTTATACCAATTCCAAGTTGCATTATTTTTTATGCTGGTTACCAAATCAGAAAGGGTGCACATGCACATACTTATGTTTGTGTCTGTGTGTGCTAGCACACGTTGCACACACACACACACATACAAGGAATATCTTAGTCCTAGGGATTTGTCTCAACCCAGTCCCTTTGCCTAAGATAGGATTATCTTTGCACTGAACAATCACTTAGGTCACAGGTTAATTCCTAATACATTGCAGCAGATGGGAACAAGGACTACACAAATGTCCTGTGTCGGAGCCGCCTGTTGATTCAAAGTCACAGTTAAAACGTTCAGAGGGGAAAAAAATAGAAAAAGAAAATGCCCTGAAAGAATGGACAAAAAAAATTAGGATTCTATTTTGTCTTAAAATACTGCGTAATCAGCTGCTCTCTGTATAGTATATGCCTACATTCTTTTTAAAAATAATATTGCTACAGGTATAAGTTGCAAAGACCTGTTTGTACATATTTGAGCCTACAGTTGTTCTGGACACAACATTATTTCTGCAAACATGTGCCCTAACAGGCCTAGCTTGCAAACTATTGACAAATCCTCGTACTCTGTGCCATTATAGATAATTTTGATGGAAGATGCTGAAGCTTGTGAATATTGCCATTGCTACCAGTGTACTGTGATCTTTCTACCAGTTACCTTTGCTTTCTATAGGAAGTGCTGAATGAAAACGGTTCCTCCTACCACTGAATTATATAGTTTGCAGTTATTGGTCACTTTTCTTTTCTTTTTAGCTTTTTGAAATTTGAAGTGGCTACTCCATGGTGTAGACCAAGGCTATATATATGGAATAATGCAAGCTGTTTTAACCTGTTGACAGTGCGATTAGCATATATAAATAATGTAAAAAAAAAAGCAGTATTGATGTACCTAAACTACATCGGTGCTCTCTTTGTTTCCATGTTTTATTTTCATTGTATTCATTTCAACTGAGCTCTCCACAGTGCTAAAAAGAAATAAAATAATTAATGACCATTTGTTCATTTCTTTGTCTAATGACACATTTCACATTGATGCCTCGGTATGAAGAAATCGTGCTCAAGCTAAGAGAGCTTATATGCTAGTGATTTATAACACTGCCATATCAGTGATGATAAATTACAGCGTTCTTGTCAGTGTTGCATGAATGACAGCAAAACCACTGATTTGAAAGTTCTAGTAAAGCTACTAACTGCCACTGTCAATTGGCAAATTTCACTTCATTCCTTTGATCATTTTAGTTTGTTCTTTTGTTGCTAGAGCAAAGGGGGCGCACTATACTCTTCATACTTCTAAAATGCTGCAGTGGGAAAAAATATGTGGTGTTCCCATTTATTTGATTAGATAACGAGCCGAATAAAGACGGAGTGGTTACATATGCAGCATGGTTCTTTTAATGTCTCAGTTCAGGTAGTCCCTGACTTACAATAGTCCGTTTAGTGACCGTTCAAAGTTACTGAGGCAATGAAAAATGTGACTTATGGCTGTTTTTCACACTTATGGCTGTTGCAGCATCCCCGTGGCCACATTATCAAAATTCAGACGCTTGTCCACTGACTCATATTTATGACGGTTGCAGTGTCCTGGGGTCATGTGATCACCTTTTGCAACTTTCTGACAAGCTAAGTCAATGGGGAAGCAGAGATTCACTTAGCAACCATGTTACTAACATAATAGTGATTTGCTTAACAGCTGTGGCAAGAAAGTTCGTAAAATGGTACAAAATGTAACAACTGTCTCGCTTAGCAACATACATTTTGGTCATAAGTCAAGGTGCAAGGTCTTGCACCTAGATGGGGAAGCACTTCCTCTGAAGGAGCAGGTCTAGAATTTGGAGTCCTTGTTGATTCATGCTGTTAAGTGGAAGTCATAACCGAGAAGGTGGTTTTGGTGAGTATTTTCCACAATTCCGATTGATACACCCATTGCAACTTTACAGGAACAGATAGTAAGTGGGAATGACCTTGGGGCACAACAGGAAGAGCCACAGACTGGACAATTCTCATGTAAAAGATTTCTCATCCTGCAGAAGGGATGGAATGGGAAGTGTTTCAAAAGGGACCCTCCCTACTTTTCTGGATAGTAAAAAAGAGAGAAGGAAGAAGTGTTTCAAGCTCCTAATGTAATCTTACCATAAAACTAGAGTAGTACTCATGGTTGTGCTCTTCAAGGATAATCAGGAGGACTCAACCAAGTAATATGTTCTCCTTCCCACCCATACGGATTATTGCAATCCATTCTACAGGAGGTTTCTTTTGAAGACCATTGTAGAAACTACAATTAGTTTCCAAAGCAGTAATCCACTGACTGGTGGGCACATGTCACGAATGCACATTAATCCCTGTGCTATAGGCCCTGCATTGGCTTCTAGATGCAGTCAAAGGGCAAGTTCTGATTGATAAAGCCGTACGTGGCTTTGAGCCCAGAAGTCTCTAGGAGTCTATTTTCCAACTTGAATTGACTCACTGGGTTTGTTTGTTCCAGGAGAAGCTGCTGTCATTAGTTCACTTCCATGAAGTGGGAAAAGCCAAGATACAGAATACAGCTGCTTTTCTGTGATAGTACCTGCTTTTTGGAGCAGCATCTTAGTTGACTTCAGTCTGTCCTCCTTCACAATGTCATTTTGGAAGGTGTTGAAAACGAAGCTCTTCCAATGAACCTTGTGGTGTAAACAGCGGTCATTTTGGGGTTGGGGCAGGGGTGAAATTCAGCAAGTTCTGGAGAATCGGTAGGTTAAATTTTGAGTACTTTGGAGAACCAGCAAATACCACCTCTGACTGGCCCCTGAGTGGGTGGGAATGGAGATTTTGCAGTATCCTTCCCCTGTCACACCCACTAAGCCACACCTACAGAACCGGTAGTAAAAAAAAGTTGAATTTCACCTCTGGGTTGGGGTTAGGGGTAGATTTGCTGGTTTTACCTTTGATTTGGTTATGCTTATGAAATTGTGCTTTAATTTATGCGCCTTTATTAACAGTTGGTGTCAGGAGTGAAAGATCAGGTCCACAAGTGAAGGTACAATTAAATTGATTTACTGCTAATCATATGTATGCACAAGAATCTTCTCAACTAATGGTTAACCCTGTTTGGGGTTAGATAAAGATCAATAGAATTCTAGGTAGGTTGAACTTAGTTCCATTGTGACTTATAGGGATTCTAGGCTGATCCCTCTTTTAACTCCACCTCCACAGTCTTCCGTTTCTTTTATAACTGCAAGTTGAATGGATAAATGAATGAAGACCATTATGCCACTGTTGCCTCTGGGAGCAATAGCAAATATAATGATGAAAGAGATAAATGTCAAATATTATTCTCTTATGCTATGATTTAATTTTAAGCAGCCCAACCAGAAAATTACCAAGATATTTTTCACTGTTCTAAAGTCAAGTTCCTTTTCCTTCTCAATATGCAAAACCACAAAATGCAAGCATCCACTGACAGAAATTCTACTATTGACTTCCAGTTGAGTTAATTCATTACCCCTCATTTATTTATTCTGGATCTTACTGAAAATCATTATTTGCCATTTGCTGTTGCATTTCAAATGAGGATTTGAATGAAGCCATGCGGATTTATTCTGAAATAGTCCTCAGAACCCACAACCGATATTCAATGTATGGTGCTGATCTACTAATTTATCTTTACTCATATAAATTCAAGCATTTTGACCTTCATGGTAAAAACATGCTGCAGTCAGCATCGTAGAGGGAATAAAGATGCTGCAGTGAACTGAAATGCATTACCAGCTCCCTGGAGAAAAGGCCTTTACATCCATCTCAACCACAGGAAGCAGGTTAAATAAGAGGTGTCATGAATAATTTACAGCTGGGGAATTCTGGGAGTTGAAGTCCACACATCTACAAACTGCCAAAGTAGAAAAACACTGATTTAAGCCACACTGTCTTAATTTGAATGCCCTCCCTTCAAATCTATGCTTTTTCCTGGGGGGGGAGGGGCATATACTATATGTGGATGCAGAACAAAGAAACTGGGTTATTCCAGATAGCCATAAGGCCAAGAAATAGCAGTCAGAACAACAAAGCTAGCTTCGCCCTGGGACGCACTGGAAAAACTTCAGTAAAACTCCAGCATGGTTTATACAATACTAAAGCCATAAAGTGGGTTGCTACATGACTCTAGTGTTTGTGACTAGAAAATCATGGTCAATGGTTTAGCATGTGATTCCAGGTACCTGTAATTTATTTAGTAAATCATGCTAAAAAGATATTATAGTTTAGTATGCACCAGCTCGTAATCACGCTCTAGATCAGGGGTTTCAAACTCAAGGCCCGGGGGCCAGATCCGAGCTGCAGAGTGCTTAAATCTGGCCCTCAGGGTCCCCCTGGAAACAGAGAAGGACTGGCCTGTGGTGCCTCTGCCAGCAAAAACGGAGCTCACGAAGGCAACGGGCAGCCCTCCAGAGCTCAGTTCTCGCTGGCAGAGGTCTGCAGGAGGCCGCCACAATGAAAACAGAGCTCGGGAGCCCGTTTTTGCTGGCAGACCGCTTGGGCGCCCCCCCCCCGCACAAGTGACATTGAGCTGGCCACACCCTCCATGGCCACACATACTCCCCCGAGGCCAAACACAACCCTGATGAGACCTGCAATGAAATTGAGTTTGACACCCCTGCTCTAGATAGTTCTTTCCTAAGGATCAAGAAAACAGAATCTCTAGGTAGTACCAACATAAGTGCTTAGAAGTTGGGGGTGGGGGGAATACTTGAAAACAAATTCAAAATGCCATCAGTTGACTTGAGTAATTCATCTTGGAGCTAGTACTAGTAGCTCACTAGTTTTGCATTGAATTTTTTCTGTGGGCATAGCTATGGTATGTTGCATCTACGTCCACACATGGGATTCTGTTGCTCCAACTTTGGGGGTTTTCTTGGTATGTCATTATTATTTATTAGCGTATGGTGTTTTCACCTTAGTTAGGAGACTACAATGCAATTGCACAGCAGTAGTTTGGCTGCCAAGGTATGTGCTCCACTGTAGGAAATGCTCAGGCGGTTCCCATGGTCCACTACAAGAGAGCGAGCAGGCTTTGCACCAGAAAGAAAGACAAGTGGCTCTTCCCAAGTGGCATCCAAGGCCCCCTATCTTCTCGGAACTGCCTCGCAAATGGACACTGCAACTGGGAAGGTTCAGAGGGCAAGAATCTGACTTTCTGCACAGAGCACCACTGAAGTGGTATCTATTTTATCTACTCACACAGAGCATACTTTCAAACTGTGGGGTGGACAGAGCTGAGATGAGTGACAGGAGCTCACCCTGACACGCAGTACCAGAACTCGAACCACTGAAGCAGAAACCATCTCCAGTGGCATTAAGACACCGAGCCATCGTGCCTGTTAGTATGTGATGAAATATTTTTTTGTGTCTCTCTTGGAATCACAAAAGCTTCAACTGATCTTTTTCAGAGTTTAGCTTGGGCCAAACTATTAATAAGCTGCTCATTGCTTTCTTTGCACCTTTTCCTAGTGTAATCGTATAAACTGGACCAAACTAAGAAACCAATGCCAAATTACTTTAAAATTACTTTTATTGATACAATTATAAGGACAGAATCTTGCAAGTCTGAATGTGGTTCCCCCCCTCTCCCTTTATTTATGTGAACTAAAAAAGTCCTGACTGAGACCTA